GATGTAGAGCAGTGTTTCTCAACCTTCCTAATGCCTTGACCCCTTCATACAGTTTCTCATGTTGCATTGACCCCCAACCAAAAAAATCATTTTTGTTGCTACTTCGTAACTGTAATTTTGCTACTGTTATGAATCGTAATGTAAATATCTGATATGCAGAATATATGTTCATTCACTGGACTAAATTTGGCACAAATACCCGATACACCCAAGTTTGAATACTGGTGGGGTTGGGAGGGATTGATTTTGTTATTTGGGAGTTGCTGGGATTTATAGTTCATCTACCATCAAAGAGCATTCTGGACTCCACCAATGATGGAATTGAGCCAAACTTGGCACACAGAACTCATCTGACCAATGGAAAATATTAGAAGGGTTTGGTGAGCATTGACCTTGAGTTTTGGAGTTGTAGTTCCCCTACATCGAGAGAGCACTGTGGACTCCAAACAATGATGGCTCTGGACCAAACTTGGCACAAATACTCAATATGCCCAAATGTGAACACTGGTGGAGTTTGGGGAAAATACTTTGGCATTTGAGAGTTGTAGTTGCTGGGATGTATAGTTCACCTACAATCAAAGAGCATTCTGAACCCCACCAATGACAGAATTGGGCCAAATTTCCCACACAGAACCCCCACGACCAAGAGAAAATACTGTGTTTTCTGATGGTCTTTGGCGACCCCTCTGACACCCTCTCGAGACCCCTCCAGGGGTCCTGACCCCTAGGTTGAGAAACACTGATGTAGAGATTGTCTGGTTTGCCTACTCTGGAACATGCAACATATAATTGTATTCTTTAGGGGTCCCTTTCAAATCTGTGATACTATATCTGTTTGTGTGTGAATCATATCTATCTATCTATATCTATGGCTCTTTGTCAGGAGAACTTTGATTAAGTTTTCTTGCCCTGGTAAAGGGAGTTGGACTGGATGACCTTCAGTATTTTCTGTTGGTCATGGGAGTTCTGTGTGTGTGTGTGTGTGAATCATATCTATCTATCTATATCTATAACTGAATGGCTCTTTATCAGGAGGGCTTTGGTTATGTTTTCTTGCCCTGGTGAAGGGAGTTGGACTGGATGGCCTTAAGGCAGCATTTCTCAACTTGAGGGTCGGGACCCCTGCGGAGGTCATAAAGGGGTGTCAGAGGGGTCACCAAAACCATCATAAAACACAGTATTTTCTGTTGGTCAATGGGTTTCTGTATGAAAAGTTTAGTTCAGTTCTATCGTTGGTGGGGTTCTTTTGATTGTAGGTGAACTATAAATCCCAGCAACTGCAACTCCCAAACGTCAAGGTCTATTTCCCCCAAACTCCATCTGTGTTCATATTGGAGCATATGGAGTATTCGTGCCAAGTTTTGTCCAGATCCATCATTATTTGAGTCCACAGTGCTCTCTGGGTGTAGATAAACTATAACTCCCAAATTCACGATCAATGCCCAGCAAACCCTTCCAGTATTTTCTGTTGTTCATGGGAGTTCTGTGTGCCAAGTTTGGTTCAATTCCATCACTGGTGGAGTTCAGACTGCTCTTTGACTGTTGGTGAACTATTAATCCAAGCAACTACAACTCCCAAATGACAAAATCAATTTTTGAGTGATGGTCACTCATTGGGTTGTTAGGTATATTCTATTCAAATTTGGTGTCAATTCATCCAGTGGTTTTTGAGTTCTTTTAATCCCACAAATCAACATTACATTTTTATTTATATAGACTAGCCGTCCCCTGCCATGCGTTGCTGTGGCCCAGTCTGTGTATGTGTTTTATGTATGTGTATATATTTGTGTATATGTGTATATATGTGGTTTTGTGCATACACTGTAATGTATTTTTTTATTTTTTGGCTTTTAAAGTCTCTTCCGCTGTGATTTTCGGTGTTTTTCTGAGTGATGGTCACTTGTTGGCCTGGTGAGTGTATTGTGTCCGAATTTGGTGTCAATTAGCCCAGTGGTTTTTGAGTTATGTTAATTCCATAATCTAACATTACATTTTTATTTATATAGATTTCAACATTTTACCATCAATCCTACTAAGATGGGAGACATTTACAAATTCTTTCAGATGCAGTGTATTTGTTCCACCAGTTAGACATGGTTGAAATAAGCGAGTTTTGATGTATTGTCTATTACAAGGGCATTATAGTTTCCAATTTGTAGATTCAACACTGGAGCACTGGATACTTTTACACTCTCATCCTCGTCCAAATCCCTCTCTAATCTGTTCTGAAGGTTACCAAGTTTTGTATGCTAGTGTGTTCCACGAGGAGTAATTCGGTCAAATCCTGCAATGACCTGCTCCAACCCTAAAAAATGCCATTAGATTGGATTTAGGAGCTTGTTGTTCCTAAATGTGGGGCCGGGGTTAGCACAGCAGGTTAAACTGCCAGCTACAGATAATCTTGCTGACTGGATGGTTGGCAGTTCAAAGCCGCAGGTCTGGTGAGCTCCCACCGTCAGCCCTAGCGTCTGCTTTCTTAGCAGTTCAAAAACAGCAATGTGAGTAGATAAATAGGTACTGCTTTGGTGGGGAGGTAAAAGGTGCCCCTGAAGACATGCTGACAATTTGATCAGGAAGGCGTCCATAGACAACAGGCTCCTCGGCATGGAAAATGGAACCAAAGCACCTCCCCATGGCTGAGTCGAGCACAGCCTCCAGATGCCGGAGATGAATAAAAGAGGGAAGCCTCGCCTCTGTCTATGTACAGTCTGTCTTTGTTGTATCACAACATTGAATATTTGCCATATATGTATTCTGTAATCCGCTAAGAGTCCCCTCGGGGAGATAGAGCGGAATATAAATAAAGTAGAATCTATATATATAAAAAAATCAACTTATGTCCCCATACCAAAAAAGGGAAATGCGAAAGACTGCTCAAACTTCCGTACAGTGGCCCTTATTTCTCATTCCAGTAAGGTAATGCTCAAGATCCTGCAAGGAAGACTCCAGCAATAAATGGAGCGAGAGTTGCCAGATGTTCAAGCTGGGTTTAGAAAAGGTAGAGGAACGAGAGACCAAATTGCCAATATCCGCTGGATAATGGAGAAAGGCAGGGAGTTTCAGAAAAACATCTACTTCTGCTTCATTGACTATTCTAAAGCCTTTGACTGTGTTGATCATAATAAATTGTGGCAAGTTCTTAGTGGGATGGGCATCCCAAGCCACCTTGTCTCTCTCCTGAGGAATCTGTACAAGGACCAAGTAGCAACAGTAAGAACTGACACGGAACAACAGACTGGTTCAAGATTGGGAAAGGCGTACGGCAAGGCTGCATACTCTCACCCAACCTTTTAACTTGTATGCAGAACACATCATGCGATGTGCGGGGCTTAGATGAATGCAAAGCTGGGGTGAAAATTGCTGGAAGAAACATTAACAACCTCAGATATGCAGATGACACCACTCTGATGGCCGAAAGCGAGGAGGAGCTGAGGAGCCTTCTAATCAAGGTGAAAGAAGAAAGCGCAAAAGCCGGGTTGCAGCTAAATGTCAAAAAAACCAAGATTATGGCAACAAGAATGATTGACAACTGGAAAATAGAGGGAGAAACCGTGGAGGCCGTGACAGACTTTGTATTTCTAGGTGCAAAGATTACTGCAGATGCAGACTGTAGCCAGGAGATCAGAAGACGCTTACTTCTTGGGAGGAGAGCAATGTCCAGTCTCGATAAAATAGTAAAGAGTAGAGACATCAGACTGGCAACAAAGATCCGCCTAGTCAAAGCCATGGTATTCCCTGTAGTTACCTACGGATGTGAGAGCTGGACCTTAGGGAAGGCTGAGCGAAGGAAGATCGATGCTTTTGAGCTGTGGTGTTGGAGGAAAGTGCTGAGAGTGCCTTGGACTGCGAGAAGATCCAACCAGTCCATCCTCCAGGAAATTAAGCCCGACTGCTCACTGGAGGGAAGGATACTAGAGACAAAGTTGAAGTACTTTGGCCATATCATGAGGAGACAGCAAAGCCTAGAGAAGACAATTATGCTGGGGAAAGTGGAAGGCAAAAGGAAGAGGGGCCGACCAAGGGCAAGATGGATGGATGGCATCCTTGAAGTGACTGGACTGACCTTGAGGGAGCTGGGGGTGGTAACGGCCGACAGGGAGCTCTGGCGTGGGCTGGTCCATGAGGTCACGAAGAGTCGGAGACGACTGAACGAATGAACAACAACAACATATATATAAAAATGCTCTGTGCGTAATGAGTTCCTTAAAAACAAAAGAACCAATGAACGAAATCACACCAAATTTGGCAACAAAACGTCTCACAACACAAGGAGTGACCATCACTCAAAAAATTATGATTTTGTCATTTGGGAGTTGTAGTTGCTGGGATTTATAGTTCACCTACAATCAAAGAGCATTCTGAACTCCATCAACGATGGAATTGAACCAAACTTGGCACACAGAACTCCCATGACCAACAGAAAATACTGGAAGGGTTTGGTGGGCATTGACCTTGAGTTTGGGAGTTGTAGTTCACCTACATCCAGAGAGCACTGTGGACTCAAACAATGATGGATCTGGACCAAACTTGGCACAAGCACTCAATACGCCCAAATATGAACACAGATGGTGTTTGGGGAAAATAGACCTTGACATTTGGGAGTTGTAGTCACTGGGATTCACAGTTCACCTACAATCAAAGCATTCTGAACCCCACGAACAACAGAATCGGGGCAAACTTCCCACACAGAACCCCCATGACCAACAGAAAATACTTAAGGCCATCCAATCCAACCCCCTTCATCAGGGCAAGAAAACGTAAACAAAGTCCTCCTGACAAAGAGCCATCCAGCCATAGATATAGATAGATGGATAGATAGATAGATAGATATGATTCACACACACACACACAGATATAGTATCATAGATTTGAAAGGTACCCTTAAAGGACTATGATATGTTGCATGTTCCAGGGTGGGCAAACCAGACACTCTCCACATCAACACTGACAAAGAAGCAGCAAGAAATACGGTTTACCCAGAAGCATAAAGAAATTACATATTTTAGAAACCAACACTTTCTCATTACTTTATTTTCCAGATCAACAGACTGGGCCACAGCAACGCGTGGCAGGGGACAGCTAGTATTATTATATTATTATTGAACTTCCAGGTGTGTACATGTGTGCGCATGCTGTTTTGGAATTTTGTTTTCTATTGTATTCTACTTTTGCTCATTTATGACGGAAATATAATCGCAAGGCACTGATTGACAGCATGAAACTTTTTCTTTAAATAAATAGAAGCAGGTGTATGCAAAGTTGGAGGATGCTTTGGGATAGGAGTTGCTTCTTTCTGAGCATATAGGGCAAGATGAACGCAATGGGGGACTAACTCAAACACAGGTGGAAAGGGGCTTCCCACATCTCTACAGAGTCTCCAACCAGCAACGTCTACTCTCATCCACAAGACTGTGGGAATGTGAGAGGCACATCTACAACTTAGAAGAACTACATTCTTGATCCAGCAACAGAGGTAGCCTTGCTGTTAGTTGCCCTTCAATATCTGCAGGTAAGGAAACAAAACCAAAAAAGAGCACCGTTTCACACCCAAGTTCCACCTTGGCATTCCCTTAGTTATACTGAGAAGCAGATTCTTTCCTCTTCCAAAAGAAAAAAGAGGCATGGTCAACTGGCCACAAAACGTGGACCATTGGTAATGTCTACGTTGTTCATACTTCCTTTCTGATGCCAATTCCACAGTCTTACTAAGAGCAGCAATGTTGTTCTTTGTTGCCAGTCTCTAAGGCCCTGATGCTTCACGGTCTTCTGTGTGGCATGTGGATGTCCACGGGGACAAATGTCACTGTTGGGTTGCGGGCGGGACTATTGCTGCTCGGTGTCAAAGTGGGGTGGATTGTGGCTTTGGTGTTCTTCGGTTCCAGCTCTCGCTTTGTCCTCATCCGTCTACAAAGAGCGAAGAAAGCACTGCATTAGTCAAGACCTGGTAAACTTGAACTCTTTGTCCTGGAATAGTATTAGTCCTCATCATGAGTCAGAATCATGCAACTGCTGATCTGAAGGTTGGCAGTTCAAATCCGCGGGACATGGTGAGCTCCCACTGTTAGCCCAGCTCCTGCCAACCTAGCAGTTCAAACACATGCAAATGTGAGTAGGTAATAAATAAATAATAATAAACCTTTATTTATACCCCGCTACCATCTCCCGAAGGACTCGGTGCGGCTTACAAGAGGCTGAGCCCAAATACATCAGTAAAACACAACAACAACAGTACAATAATAAAAAAAAACTCATAAACAAAGCAAAAACCATAAATAACACCGTGGCGCATTAAAACCTGTGGCAGGGCCAAATGTAGTACTTAAAATCTTTTAAAATGTTGTGCATGATCAGGTGAAATAGGATAGATATTTTAGGGATAGGTGGGGCGTGCAGGCAATTCTAGATCTCTAGTAAAGTGCATTTGGGACATATTTCTTGGAGTTTCCTTATTCTGGGAAGGCACACTGGAACAACCACGTTTTCAAGCTCCTTCTAAAGACTGGCAGCATTGGGGCATGCCTGATGTCCTTGGGGAATGAGTTCCAGAGTCGAGGGGCCACCACCGAGAAGGCCTTGTCCCTCGTCCGCACCAATCGCGCTTGCGATGCAGGTGGGATCGCGAGCAGGGCCTCTCCAGATGATCGAAGAGATCGTGTGGGTTCGTATACAGAGATGAGGTCACGCAGGTACGCAGGTCCCAAACCGTTCAGGGCTTTGTAGGTAAGTACCTGCAACTTGAATTGGGACCGGAAAATGAACGGCAGCCAATGGAGCTCCTTAAACAGGAGGGTTGACCTCTCCCTGTAAGGAGCACCAGTTACTGCTTCAGCGAGAAAGACATAAAACACTCCAAGCAGTCATGTCGGTCACATGACCAGGAGGTGACAACGCAGGCTCCTTGGCTTGGAAATGGAGAACAGTACCTCCCCCAGAGCCAGAAATGAGCACTGTAATAAGAAACTCAATGTGTAGATTTGATAAATGTGAATTTAATATGATGTGTGGGAATGAATGGAAGAATGGAAGTATGTGTGGTTGGAGTTAATAATTTTGGAAACACCAGTATAATATTAAGGCCTGCAATGACTAACTACCTGCTTGCTGGACTTGCTAATGAGAAACCCTGATAAGAACTGAGACTGTGATATAGGAAATGTTTGCAACCTTCCTGATGTTAAGAAGGAAGTCAACACAAGCCTTGTGTTTGGCAACACCAATCAAGAAGATCAACATCTAGCCAGGAAACTGAGATGGATCCAGGATGGAAGACGTCTATCATTAATTTACAACTTTGGGATTACATCAACAGAATATTCCTATAAAAGACTCAGTCTAATAATGCTCAAATTGTGACCAACCTGAGGAGTCTGGTTCACCCACTATGCTCTGCTCCATGGGAAGGAGAGAGATAGTGTACCTATGGATAGTGGCAGATTTGCATGGGAGCAGTCTGGTCACTTTGGGGATTCTTTCTCAAGGGAAGAGGAAGAAGTGTGCTTTTGGAGTCTTAGATTTTGTGCAGGGAATCAGGTTCTGCTGTATGGAAAACAGAGATCTGGCCCCTAGCATTGTTCTTAGGGAAAGGATGCATTTTGGTGTTTTGAAGTTATGAAGTTTTGGAACTATGCATTGGCAGGCTGCAGGAAATCAGGGTCTGGCCTAACAGGTGTTTCTCCAAGGAGGGAGAAAATGATATGGTAATATTTTGGATGCATGTGGATGAATGCGTGTACATGTGGCGTGAATGTTGAGTGACAATGTAATTCCCTTTTGTTTGTTTGTTAACCAATGTAATTGTGAATTCAATGTAGTTGCATAGAATCTGTATGTCTGTATGTCCAATGTCATTCTTTGTCTGAATGTTTTTCTGTAATCTGATATACCCTCTCACACTGAAAATTGCAATAAAAAGAACCTATGCTTCAAAGTTATTGAAAAGTCATTCATGACAGCACCACCTCCAAAGCCTTCAATTGAGTATCTCATTGTATTTTAACAAGGCATTGAATGTTTGCCAGTATCTGTTTACACTGTAATACGCTCTGAGTCCCCACAGGGAGAAGGGCGGAATATAAATAAAGTGTTGTTGCTGTTATTGTTGTTTTGCTTTTGTTGTTTTGCTTTTGTTGTTGTTGTTGTTATTATTATTATTATTATTATTATTATTATTATTATTATTATTATTATTATATAAGCTTTGTATAGCACAGGGAAGGGTGAAAACTCCTGTGGTGCTTCCTTTGCTGTCTGTACTTCGGTTCAGAAGATTTCACCTCACTTTCTGTCCCTGTGAGAACTGGATTTTGAAAAAATTGGCTTTTTGTGAAAACAAGGATTGGTGCTAAAGCTTCAGCAGAGACCCCTTTCCCCCATTATAATAACTCTTCCAGGAGCTCAAAGGATGTGAAAACAGTAGCGGAATGATCCAAAGAGATCATAAATAAACACCCACGGAATACGCACGTGATCTGCCACTTGTGCTCCTGAAGAATTAAAGGAACTTGAGCACAAAGCCAAGTCACTGACTCACCTATTATACATTTTCAGCAAGAGGAGAACCACAGTGAATATAACAATTATGCCAACCACAATGGCCGCCACAATCGCGCCAGAACCTAATGTGAGGAAGGAAAGAAAACAAATCAGCAGCATCGAAGGGCACGTGTTCATGGAGCCTGGGACCAAACAGATTTGGAATCCCAGCATGTGATAAAAAATTCCTCAAGGAAACCTAAAATGTTCGTTTAGGTCCTCTTGAGGGCACAAGGAGTGTGATCAGTAGATGAAATGCAATTATTTTGTCTTTTTTTGCCATTCTGAAACATTCAGAACTGAAGAACCTTCCAAAAATGCCAGCATTATCTTTTTCTTTTCCCCCCAAAATATATATATATTAAAAATGATACAAATCACACACAACTACATTAGCACAAAACATATAATAAATCAGCTAAACAATGAATCACGTATTTGTATAAATGTAATCTCTATGTGCACCCACCACCCATGGGATATATACGAGGGTTATCCGGAAAGTAAGGTTACAAGGCACGTAGCTCTCACAGGAAATGTTCTGCCGTGTAGCGGGAAGCCAGCAGAAGCGGATGAGCAGTGCCAGTCATTGGTAGCTCATCAACTGGCATTGTGATGAAGGTTAGAGATGAGCATCCTCATACCAATTCCAAGTGCAAAATTTGCGCTGTATTACGCTCCCTAAATGCTAAGGGCATGGACGCCACTGCAGTTCATGGCGAAATCGTTTCAGTTTATGGAAGGGACGGAATGTCAAGATAGCATGTGACAAAACAGTTATGGAATATATTGTGAGACCACGAAGAAACTTTGTGGAGCCATCCGAAACAAATGTCATGGAATGCTGACGGAGGGAATCTGTCTCCTTCATGACAATGCGTGACCGCACACCACTCATGCAAGACAACATTTTACGATGACAATGAGGTGAAAATCAAAGTGACAAACGGGCTGAAAAAGGCGGAGGGAAACTTCTATGACACAGACATCAAAAACTCGTCCTACGGATGCTAAATTGTATTGAGTTGCTCTAAGTTTTTCAGGCTGTATGGCCATGTTCTTCTGGAACAATGGTTCTCAACCTGGGGTCCCCAGATGTTTTTGGCCTATAACTCCCAGAAATCCCAGCCAGTTTACCAGCTGTTAGGATTTCTGGGAGTTGAAGGCTAAAAACATCTGGGGACCCCAGGTTGAGAACCACTGTAATCTGGAACATGGCCATACAGCCCAAAAAACTTACAGCAACCCAGTGATTCCAGCCATGAAAGCCTTCGACAACCCAAAATGTATTGAACTGAATGGTGATTATGTGGAAAAAATAATATAATCCCTATGCTATAATCCATGTAAGTTTTATTAAAATAGGTTCATTCTTTGTATTTAAAAAAAATCTCGTAACTTTACTTTCCAGATGACCCTCATATATTCATCCTTGATCTTCATTATTCTTATATTGACCTCTTTTCCAAAATGCTAGTGTAGGTTGATTTGGTTTTATTCCTTTTTCTTTTATACATATAGATTCTAAGAATTCGATCGATATTACCTCAAAATCATTTCTTTTCGTTAATCCCTTTTTACATTTTATTTCACAAGTCAGTTTACCATTGATTTAGATGTCCCACACCTCTTCGTATCAATAATCAATTTCGTAATTATTATTTTCTTTCCATTTTTTGGTTATAACTAATCTTAAAGGAGTAACAAAAACGACTATGAATTCTTTCTTTTCCCATTATGTTTATCTTACTCTGATAAAGAACTTGTTCCTGAGACTTGGTGGTCACATTTGTCAAAGATAGGGAATCCTCAGCAGCCGGTGCAGCCGTCGTCATCTTGATTCCAGGCAACTAGATCAAAAGAAACATTTCATCTGAGAACCATGCATAGTACCAATAAGAGGGACAAAAGAGGGCATATAATCTGCATACCAAATTTATACTAGTAGTGGAGTGTGTATTAACGTTTTGGTTTACACAGACATTTTTAGTCCTGTCCAAACGACGGTATCGCCAATGATGACAATAACGTACACAGCATATAAAACCATCGGAGGCTGCACCCTTTTTTACCACCTCAATTTGTTTGTGCCGATCCATAATTTACTCATTCTGCATAACATCTGTTGTATCCCAGAACATCTCTGTACTTAACCAGCACACCAGTCCAATAAAATCAGCAAGCCCCCAGTGACACAATCACTTAAACCCTTGTGTTAGTCTTAAAGACCCTAAATTGGGTCTTCTTAGTTCCGCATCACAGGAACATGTAAGGAAGGAGGTGGTTTAGGATTGCGGCTCTGCTGAGGCGCGGCCCCCCGGCACCACCGCGCATTGTGGTGGCCCCGGCCCGCTTGGACCCCTCGCTCTCCCTCATCGGAAGGCCCGGGGGTGCCGGCCCCGCCGAGGTTGGATTGGGAGATTGCTTTGAAAATAGTAAGGAAGGAGGCAGTCCCAAAAAAAGATTAAAAAAAGGTTTATTTTAGTTTCTTCATGAAGGAGACGGACAGCCTGGCAGCATACGCAGATGCTACCCTTCAAGTGACTGCCGCGCCCCTCCTCTGTTTCTGATGACTTTTATACTCAAGTAATAGGTCATGGAAAGTACTCTCTTTCCAGCCCCTCTCCCTTGACCTTTTGATGGAAAGTGCCTTCTTGTACCTGCAGACTCTGCGCTTAACCACAACCTTTGGCTTAACCACAACACAACTACTTCCTATGTAGGCTTGAACTTTGTATGGCCTCTACATGTCACATCTTATTTGTTAAAAACATTTTCTTCCATGTTGCTCCTTTTCTACAGAGAAAGGGTATATTTCTCTTTTGCTGTTAATTTCATTCAAAGCCCCTTGCTTAGCATTTGGAAATTTCACTCAAAGACCCTTTCACTAGCAGGACTGCTTACTGACAGCTCAGTAGTTTGAATTCGGGGAGATCAGGTTAAGCTTAAGCATATTTTTTATTGTTTGTTGTTTTGTTGTTTAATATTGCTTTAATTGTTTTTAATTTGCCTTAGGTTTTGTATTGTTATATTGTGTATTGAGGCCTTGGCCTTTGTAAGCCGCATCGAGTCCTTCGGGAGATGCTAGCGGGGTACAAATAAAGTTAATAATAATAATAATAATAATAATAATAATAATAATAATAATAATAAAGCTCCCTCTGTCAGCTCCTGCTCCCCACACGGGGACATGAGAGAAACCACACACAAGGATGGTAAAACATCAAACATTCAGGTGTCCCCTGGGCTACGTCCTTGCAGACGACCAATTCTCTCACACCAGAAGCGACTTGCAGGTTCTCAAGTCGCTCCTGACACGGGGGGGGGGGGGGGGGGAAGCAAGCAGTTTATTGAAGAATATATAAAGGCAAAGCAATAAAAATGGTAAAAACAGTATAGTCCACAGATGTGAATTAGTCCATTGACTTCAAGGTACAAAGGTAAAATTCAAAATCCAAGAATGCAAAATCCATATAACAATGACAGCATGAAAATCCTCCTTTAGACTTGGAAACGGGAATTTGGCCTACTTAGAACATTAAACTAGAAATTCCCTTGACAAAAGCTTGATGCAAGATGTTCTTTAAACTCCAACATTGCCCAGAGTAATCTAAATTCTTCATATAAAGTTTTTCCTGTTTCATAAACCATCAAGAAATCATTTATTTTACCTTTACAACCAGATGGCGACCTCTTTTTTAATAAGCTCAATGATCTTTGGGAACTTGCCCTAAGTTTATACAAGTTTTGTCTTCTATCTCCTGGCTCGTTTACCTCTGCACCTGACAATTCATCCTCAGAAGACAGTTCCCAAGAGAAAGGCTGTCCTGGGCCCACTTCAGGGATTTGACTTTCAGACTCTACAGGAGAAACACAACGCTCATTTTCAAGACTTGAAACCTCAGACCTTTCAGCTTAAATAACTGGAATCCTCGCATTAGGTCTTTGGCCTTTCGGCAAGGCCAGGATTTGAAATCTCAGGCCCAGTAAAACCATCATCCCCAGTGACATCAGACACAATCATTGGCTGAACTACAACAGCATGCTGTATTGGTGGGAGATGCATGAGCCCTCAGATGTTGGATCTGGACCAAACTTGGTACGCACACCCAACATGGCCAACTTTGAATATGTATGTCCTTCACTCAAAAAATTGATTTTGTCATTTGGGAGTTGTAGTTGCTGGGATTTATAGTTCACCTTCAATCAAAGAACATTCTGAACTCCACCAACGATGGAATTGAACCAAACTTGGCACACAGTTCTCCCATGACCAACAGAAAATACTGGAAGGGTTTGGTGGGCAGTGTCCTTTGGTTTTGGAGTTGTAGTTCACCTACATTCAGAGATCCCTGTGGACTCAAACAATGGTGGATCTGGACCAAACTCTCCACGAATACTCAATATGCCCAAATGTGAACACTGGTGGAGTTTGGGGGAAATAGAATCTTGACATTTGGGAGTTGTAGTTGCTGGGATTTATAGTTCACCTACAATCACAGAGCACTCCGAACCCCACCAATGATAGAATTGGGCCAAACCTCCCACACAGAACCCTCATGTGGGCTACAGCAACACATGGCAGAGGACGGCTAGTCTATTTAAATAAAAATGTAATGTTCATTTGTGGGATTAACATAACTCAAAAACCACTGGACAAATTGACAGCAAATTTGGACACAAGACACCTACTAACCCAAGGAGTGATCATCACTAAAAAAAAATGATTTTGTCATTTGGGAGTTGTAGTTGCTGGGAATTATAGTTAACTACAATCAAAGAGCATTCTGAACTCCACCAATGATGGAACTGAACCAAACGTAGCACACAAGACTCCCGTGAACAACAGAAAACACTAGAAGGGTTTGGTGGGCATTGACCTTGAGTTTATGAGTTGTAGTTCACCTATATCCAGAGAGTGCTGTGGACCCAAACAATGATGGATCTGGACCAAATTTGGCACAAATATTCCATATGCCCCAATATGAACACAGATGGAGTTTGGGGAAAATAGACCTTGACATTTGGGAATTGTAGTTATTGGGATTTATAGTTTTCTAGATCACCAGACTAGGCCACAGCAACACATGGCAGGGGATGGCTAGTTTCTTATAAATAACATTACAAAAGACCTAACGTGAGGATTCCAGTGTACCTAAGCTAGTATTCAGACATGGGCAAACTTTGGCCCTCCGAGTCTTTTGGACTTCAACTCCCACAATACCAGCTGTTAGGAATTGTGGGAGTTGCAGTCCATAACACCTGGAGGGCCAAAGTTTGCCCATGCCTGTAGTATATCCTAAAAGGCTATCTTATGGCCGTAAGCTCTTTGAGAACAATCCTTGCTCAGTCTGGCCCTGGCCACAAACATAATTATTTAGAGGAAATTTATCCAATTTCAACACACACACCCCTAGCCCCACTGCGTCTGTGAAGGGGAATATGGCTCTTTTTCAAACTCTGAAAGAGTGAAAATATGAGGCACCTGTGTTACGCGCGGGGAGAAAATTATTGGATCGAAAGTGTCTGTTGGCTCCCAATGAATTGAGCACAGTAGCTGCCAGTAACCTTAAATCTGGCTCTGTGATGCAAAGTCTATAAATGGAAGCTCAATGAAACAAAACATAACAAAAAATGAGAAAATCCAGATAATTACAGGCAGCCCACGAGAATGTTGGCTTCTTTGTGAGGTTTGCCCCCGATTTCCAAGGCTCTGAATTAACAAGTTTGTTTGTGTCGAGCCAGCCCCACTCTTTCTAGCGAAAATGGAGAGAAGACAAAAAAAAGTAAGAAAATAACACAAGCCCTGAGTCCATAACTAGGTCATTCTCCTCTAGGTGAATGGCGCCTTTGTGTATCCAAGGCTGAGTTACTCTTGTAACATGATAATCTACTTTGGTCAACATTTCCCCCTCCTCCCTTCCTTTGAAATAGTCAGAACCTCACTTTTTTTCCCTAGTTCACCATTCCTATCATACATTATTTTTATAGTGAGTCGTGGTCTTTCCACTTTGCCCCATCAGCACCATTTCTGTTGTTGCTGCTACTGAAATATTGGACTGTGGTGTCATTGACCTTTTATGGAAAATATTGGTTGAGATATTCAACTGCCATGCTTTGGGAGACAATGATCGGGCATTGAGCCGAAGTGACATTCCGACCTGCGGAGTTAATAACTATTTATTTATTTGGGGGGGGGGGGTTGTTTTTGAATTCTGTGAGTTGTCGTTCACAAACCAGTTCGGTACTCTGTACCGAACTGGTGATGGAACTAGTAAAATTGCCACACATACCGAACATGCCCAAATTTTGAATACTGGTGGGGTTTCGAGGGGACAGACCTCAGAGGTTGGGAGTTATAGTTCACCCACTCTGACAGAGCAATGTGCACCCAACTGATGGATCTGGACCAAACTTGACACAAATACCCAATATGATGAACTTTTAATACTGGTGGGGTTTGGGAGGGGACTGACCCAACATGATGGTAACTGTAGTTCTCCCTGCATCCAGAGAACCGTGTGACCTCCAATGTAAGATATAAGCAGGGCCGTAGCCAGAAAAAAAATTCGGGGAGGGTTGAAACTTTTTTTAGCAAATCATGAAGAGTAGTTCGATAACACAACAACAACATTTTTAATACAGTCCAAAGACCCTTATTGCTCTGTAAAAGGTATAAGATACAAGGTATGCAAGGTTAGTAAGGCCAAAAATAGCCAAAAAATAGTTGTTTTTTAACACTGCCATATATCCCAGGGGGGGGGTTGAACCCCTAACCCCCCCCCCCCCCCCCCGGCTATAGGCCTGATCTGAATCAAACTTTGCACACAGACCCAACATGGCCAACTGA